AACTATAGTCTAGCAATGGCTTAGACGCTATTTCACAGGTTCTGTTGGTCTCTGAGATATAGAACTTGGCTTGAGGCTTCGGGGTAGTCCATCCTGATGCTTAGGGTCGCTAGTGGGATAGCGGCTTTCAGAAAAAGGTGTTTGAAGTGTGCCGAATATGTAAGGAACTAACTGGATATGGTAACAATTGCAATAATTGAGTGAACAGGGAAATTGAAATACCCTTGGCTTTCCATGCAGTAGGCAGGGAAAAGCTGATTGGCAGGGGAGGGGAAGGACACTGGTGGTCCCGTGGCCCAGGTAGAAGACTTTAATCTCCATGGCTTAAATTCAGCATCTTTCCTAAGCACTAACATTCAACAGATTTGTTAACAAGAATAAAATTCCAGGCATGCTTACCTGACATCAAGATAAGGCAGTTGTTCAAATACTGGAGCCAAGAACACTAAGTGCAAAGAGATGATACAGAGGGTCAGAGAGAAATTATAAAAATGGCCAGAGTATAGCGAAATAGCCATCAACTTGAATAAATGCCTATTGTTTCCCTAGGGAAAAGTAATCTCAAACACATATATTCAGTGGGAGTATATAGGAAGCAGCAATGCTGAAAGGGATGAAAGTGGACAACAAACTACATTTCAGTTTGTAATACTATATGGCTGCTGTGAAATGGTCAATACAAGTTTAGGGTGCAAAGGGAAAATCCTAATGAAACAAAGAGGTGATATTTCCCCTCTATGTGGCTCTACTTGCCTGTGCCTGAAATATTGTGTTCAGTTCTGAGAACTTCATTGCTAGAAAGATATTGACAAACTAGGTGCAGTTCAGCAAAGTTTATCAGCAGGGTGGAGGGATTGATTTATAAAGGAGATTCATAGAGTGAGCCAGATTTTGCTCTTGGTTACACCAGTTTAAGTCAGGACTGACTTTGCCAAAATCTATGGAATTTCTCTGGATTTTCAAGGGTGTAACCCAGTGAAGAATTTTGCCCAGTATGTATAGATTGGCTAAACAGCTAAGTAGGGACAAGAAAGCAGCTGACACCTATTTGAGAGAAAGCAGAGGAATATATCAAATAGGGAAAAGAATTCTTTCTTTTAACACCTGGGTGTACCAGACTATAGGTGTCTCTCTGAAAAAGGGAGAGTTTAAACTGAATGGGAAAAAATCTTGACAGAGAAGTGTATTAAGCTGTGTAACATACAGTGAAACCTCATCATCTGGGGACACTTAAATCTAGATAGAACAAAGCACCAGAAGATGTATTGCAGGGAAGAATCCTGAACTGGCAGTGAGATGGACTGGATGAGCTTGTCGGATTTTTTCCATAAAGGATTCTATGAGCAGGAAATAATTACAGCTATTTCACTATAGGTTGTGACCTCAGCAGTTTCTCTGAAGCTAAACAGATTCAGGCCTGGTAAGAATTTGGATGGGAGATTTCTGAAGAAACACCTAATGTAGTTGCTGAGCTGCGTTGCTTGGGTGGTTCAATTCCAACCTATCAAGTGCCTCTGACTTTCAGAACAGAAGCCAAAAATGCAAGTCAACACCATAAGCAATAAAATATACAATATTCTGCCCTGGGACCAAAATGTTAATGACGTATTATAAAATAACAACAGTAGTTTATAGATATACTGTACTAGACAAAGGGCAAGGCAATGAATAATCAAGCCTGATGTATTTTGTTCAGTTCACCAAAGCTAACAAGCTGACATGTGCCCTTCAGCTCTGGGCAGT